AGAGCGGCCGGGGGGAGAGTCTGTGAGGTGTGTGTATGGTGTGTGCGGTGTGCGTGTATGGTGAGAGGTGACATGTGGACGTGCAGTGTGTGCCACGTGTCGGGTTGCGTGCCGTGCTTCGTGCGTTGCGTGCGTGCGCCCGTGGCTGTCTGTAAGTGTTCTACGGCCGCCGCCGCCGCCGCCGCCGCCACGGTCGCCGCCACCGCTGTCTTCGGCAGCCGGTGTATCAGCACGGCGGATCTGACGCTGTTTATTTTTGTAACAGACACGAAAATCGGGCGCCGAAAAAAAGAGAATGTTAATCGTCAGTTACACAGAGCAGATGAAGATTGTATGCAGCGAGCCGCCATCGCCGCTCCCCCACCGGTCACCCTGACCCCCGGTCAGCGGTCAGCGGGCCGAGCGGTCACTGCCGGCAGGCTGTAGCTGTGGTCAACGGTCATTTGGTCATTGGCTGTAGTCATTGGCTATAGTCAGTGGTTATTTGGTCATTGGCTGCTGTCATTGACTGTAGTCATTGGTCATTGGCTGCAGTCATTGCCTGCAGTCATTGGCTGTGGTCATTGGCTGCAGTCATTGGCTGCAGTCATTGGCTGTGGTCATTGGCTGCAGTCATTGGTTGTGGTCATTGGCTGTAGTCAGCATTATTGGCTGCAGTCATTGGCTATAGTCAGTGATTATTGGCTGCAGTCATTGGCTGTAGTCAGCGTTCATTGGCCGGAGTCAATGGCTAAATTCAATGGTCGTCGGCTGCAGTTTGCCATGAAACTGACTTTGCCTTTGCCGTCCTTTCGCTACTTTCTCGCCTTTGCATTAATTCGTAACCGACGTGTCTCTAAGACTAAGTGCGTGTGATTAATTAGTAATCGTGTAATTAGTAACAAGCTTGTTGTGTGTTTCAGTCGGCGGCCGGTTGAGCCGAGAGTTGCAGTACGTGAAGGAGCAGGTCGGGGAGGGCGCAGGATCAACGAGTCAGATATTAATACAGACACCAAAGAGGCAAGGAGCCGACATACTCACACAGGAGGCACTTCTGGTGAGTCGACACGTCGCCGCTGTTTGCTCTGCGCATGCGTCGTGACCATCGCTTGCCCTTACTCTATATGTAACAGATTTCTCCGTGGTAGTGAGCCCCTTAGCTGACGTAAGGAGCGAGCTCGACAGACGGGCCGTCGCGCGGGAGTCGCAGCAAGGCTTAATAGCTTGTGACAGGTGCGCGCCTCGAAACTTGTTTAGCCGAAATTTGGGGGGCGCTTCGGACGGTAGCAATACGTGTGTGTGTGGGGGGGGGGCGGCGACGTTGAGGGGCGTAGACAGCTGCGTGTGCTGTTCATTGATGCTGCTGCTGCTGCTGATGATGATGAAGATGATGATGATGATGATGATGAAGATGATGGTGTTGATGATGATGATGATGATGAAGAAGATGATGAAGATGATGGTGTTGATGATGATGATGATGATGATGATGATGATGATGCCACTAATAATGAATATGAATATGACGACGACGACGACGACGATGATGATGATGATGATGATGATGACATCGCTGCCCGCTGATGATGAATGTAATGATTCTACTGCTACTGGCGCTGCTACTGCATGATGCCGCCGCTGCTGCTACTGCTACTATTGCTGCTTATGCTACTACTACTGCCTCTGCTACTGCAGCTACTAGTACTAGTACTACTACTACTACTACTGCTGCTGCTGCTGCCGCTGATGCGTCACGAATTGGGTCATAGCCAGATCGCCCCCGCACACCGTGAAACCACAATGCCCCGGCTGACGTACGAAGAAAGCTCATTGAGGCGCCGCGTTTTTTCTCGTTCGCCTGGTCCGTAATTTCGGGGCCGAATTGGGGCAATTAGAGAGAGAGAGAGAGAGAGAGAGAGAGAGAGAGAGAGAGA